CCCCAAACTTTTGAATAGTAGTGTGTATCACCCAGTCATATATCTGCATGAAGCTATGAAGCATTCTCTATTATAGTGTAGAATGTTTGTAAAAGTTTGAATTTTAGAGGCAAAAGCTGCTCATTTTGCTTACCCTGGACACATCTTATCACCCTTTCTTTCATGATGCAATGCACACTCGTAGCAGAAAACATGCTTACAAGGGATCTGCAAAGAAATGAATTAATGAAGTCATGGCAGTATTAATTCATGTCACCAAAAAGCTGTGACTTGCATTCATTATACACATCAACTATTCTCACCATACGGCCGTATGACTTAATTGGCAGTCCACATTTGTCACAGAAATGAACAGGTGTCTCATCTTTTTCACCGATCAAACTTAGCTAGAAAAAAAAGAGAGAGACAAAGAGTGTTCACAACACTTTAAACACGAGCATCTGAGAGAGGTGGGTAAATTACTCTTCTACAATGCAGCCTTTACCTTGTAATCCCAGTACAGCTGCTGTGGGAAGCGACGCTGGCTCGCAAAAGCGTCTCCAGCTTTCACGCCACAATCAAATCTGTTCTCCTGCTTGAAGTTAAACCCTTCTAGCAGAAACACAGATCAGAAAACAAGCCCCATTTGCAGTGCCTCATAATATCTAATCATATGCTTGTGGAAAATGCAATATATTAACTAATTTGAAAAGAAATATATAGACAATACCTTCTTCTGTAGAATGGGCTTTAGACGGTAACCGTCCCGCTGGTCTTTGGGGTCGAGGGGCAGGTTTATTCCTGGCCTGTTTGGGAAGAAGTTTGATTGGGATCCTCCTCCTGACATCAGGACCACCTAACGGCCCGTCCGTACCCTGCATATCATTGTCTGCATGGAAAAAAAGGACAAATTAATAGTTTATTTTGACCTTCATTAGGTATTAATGCAGAAACAGTGAACGTTTTGATTAACAAACTGGCATATCTGAGTAGAGCTATATAAAAAGCCTGTATCGATTCGTGGGCATTATACTTACATAAACGATTAAACATTTGTGCGTAAATAAGACTTGATTTTGATGTGAGGTTGATACTGATACTAATGTGAACGATCTCATATAAGCAGTAAAGCAATATGGCAACAGGCAAAATACAGCGCGCACACATAATTATGTTGTATTTAACAACCCCGAGGAATGCATTGCACGCTTTAACATATTTGTGTTTTTATTCACAATATGCTGGAGACTTTCTTTAGAGATTGAACAAACTGGATCTAATGGGGAGATTAACGCAACATTGACATAGAGGCCATAACCGATAGTGATGTAGGAAAAGGTCTTTAACTAGGGCACATTCCTAACGTAGCTCGATTATCTATATGCAAACATGTGTAAAAACCCAGTGCAGATATGTTGTGGTTACAAGAAACATGTTTTGGGTAAAATAAACCTGCGAATGAACACTATAAATTTCCCTCCTTACCACTGTGGTCCATAACGGCGTGAAGCCACTGCTCAACTGCACTTCCGGTTTGTACATTTCAAAACAAAAGCCTCAAATTGTTTTCATAACAAAAGTCGTCAAGATCACGAAATGAAGGAAATAAATAAAACAATATTTTTAATTTCAGGTTCATACTTTATTAAAATAGATAGGTTTTTTAGATATTAAAATACTATTATTCTAAAATAATGTTAGTATAAAAAAAATGAGTAGGCCTATATGTGTCAAGACCATTTAGTGGTTTCTTTAAATGTACATTTACACATAACAGTCTGCCATTATATATACACACACACACACGTACAGTAAATATATTTACATACAATTTACAAACTCTCTATAGAGAGAGAGAGAACAAGAATATATGAATCAATTGTATTTATCAGCAAAACAGCCAGGTGGCGTTGTGAACATTAAGGTCCACTGGCAGCAACGTGGCTGGGGTTCAAAGCAAAAGTAAAAGGACAAGAAGGGAAATTGTAATTTAGGTGCAAAGCAAAAGCCATAAAGCAAGCTAACTGGCCTGCAGATGAATAAATAAGTCATAAGAAGTACAAGGACACACAACTCAGTACTTACCACATATAGAAAGGAGATGGAAGCCATTGGGGTTTTGAAATGTAAGAAAGGTCCAGATCCTCTATGTCTGCTTTTTGGCCCAGCAGACTGAATTATAACATGAGCTCATGCATCTAAATGGTCCAGATCTGTGTTTAAATGAATAAATGCAGTGATATCAGACCCTCTAGTGTCATCTGTTGGCCATAAATGACAGTGACACCCATAGCTGCTTCCTGAGTGTAAAGCTGCAGGTGATCACTGTACTGAGACACATAACAGGAAGAGACCGAGATTAAAGGACGCTGCTGTAAGTCTGAGAAAATATTTATTTTTTACTATGTTACAAATAATACCAACAACAAATTTTCCTTGTATTAACATTATATCTTGAAATGTTGCAGGGCGGCGTCCATTTTAATCTACAAACAAGGTATGATCTTGGCTTTTGTTTTCCATTATGCACCTGTCCTTTGTTATCAAGCCAAATGGGAACATGTTGACTGCTGTCAACTTACTGTTAAAACATACAAATATGAATATATTAAAATTATATCTCAAAAATATTCAGCAGCATGCCTGAGGATACAAACTAGTACTTTGTAGCTATCTAAAGATTGGCTTATATTTAAATAAAAAAAAAAAAAAGTTTTAATATTTAAGTTCATATTAAGTGGTAAAGAAAGCTTTTACAAATGTAAAAGTCAGAAATTAAGATTTTTTAAAATGATGTTTGATATTTTCCTGGTCTTAGAATGATGACGAGGTCTCCAAAAAATTCTGCGTCACAGTTTATTTTCCCACAATAGTCTGTATTATTACACAAAAAAGAATATTCACACTCCGTTTTAGGTTTTATGTCGATAAACAATGTACCTGTTCAAAACAAAAAGATGCAGTTTCTTCGGCTTTGAGCAGTTTGGCTGATTTGAATGAGCATTTGCATCACACCTGTTTTCAACAGTCACATGAAGGAGAATGAAAACACGTTTGTTTGTCTCCTACTAGACCCTCATAAATGATCAATGTGTTGACTATTTATACCATAAATAATCACATGCTCTTTCATAACATCAAATAGCGAAAGTAAGGCCAAAGGCGAGGACTGAGTCAGCTTTATGGTGCTTTGTGAACTGTGCATGTCTGCGCCCTTCCATTTTTTATTACCACAGAGACCAGAGTCCTCTAGTATTACAGGAAGTTGTGTTTATGGCTGCAGGTGTTTTTCGAAACTTGATTGTATGGGCAATGATGTCATGTTCTATGGCAGCAACAGACAAAGACACACCCAGTGTCCTCAGGTCACATGGCCTTTGTGTTTACAGAGTGATAGTAGCTCGTTGAAAGCAATAGGTACAGGATCAGGTCACGTGAGACCACAAAGGGCACAAAGTCCTCTTCCTCCACACAAACAAAATAAAGAACCGCAGCAGAGAAAGGAAATAGAACATTGAGTTTAGGCAAATGCATGGTTATATGTGATGCAAGAGACGGTTGAATTGGTTTCATAAACATGATTGCACACCTTTCAGAACACAATGGTGGAAGAAACGAAACAGCGAAAAAACGCCACATCCCTCCAGGCTGGACCTGGTGAGGTAGACCACAACACTCGCTGTACCATCGATATGAGGTAAATATTTGTTCAGAAATGTTCTATCGTAAAATACAATACAGTATTTTACACATGAGTCTTTTTTTGGTCTGAATAGCAGAGTTTCACAGCGTATTGGACGACAGCTGGCTCTGATAGGGGATGAATTGGACTACAAATGGCGTGAACAACTGCGCCTCCAATGGCAGCCCCTGAATTTTGGGATTTATCCTTATGTCCTAACCAGGAGAGCGTTCTCTGGGTGAGATGTTTCAAATGAAGATACAGAAAAATACGAAAGAATTAAGTGTGGTTTAATATCTATTCATGTATTTATAGTAATGAAACTGTCTTAAGCAGGATCTTCAACAATGTCTGGGGGTCCAAAATGATGCCAATGTTGAGGACATCCTGGCTTGTTTCACAGCTTCAAAACGGCTGTCAGGAGGCCAAGAAGTGGGCAGCCTTGGTATGGACAATATTTATTTTGTGTCTGTAAATATATATGAATCTTGGGTAAAATGTTCAGCAAGACTGTATTTATTTGACCAAAAATACACAAACAGTAATACTGTGAAATATTAGTATCATTTAAAATAACTTCTTATTATCAATATTGTAAATAGTTGTGCTGCTTAATATTTTTTGTGGAAACCACAACATATTTTTTTTTGTAGAATTCTTTAATGAATAGAAAGTTCCAAAGAACAGCATTTATTTGAAATAGAATATTATTTTAAATGTCTCTGTCACTTTTGATCAATTTAATAGGTCCTTGCTGAATAAAAGTATTAATTTCTTTCAAAAACTGAAAGAACCTTTGAACATTAATGTATTTAAAGTCAGTATTTGAGGGTTCCCACAGTTTTGAATGTAATTTTATAATTTTTCTGTCAATTTTTACAGATTTTTTAAAAGAATAATAGCACAAAAGCACAATTTCTAGCCACATACATACTATAGAGCTTTGAATAATTATAAAAAAATACATTTACTACAGAAATTTTAAAGATTGTTCAGGGTTTTGTTAATTTCAGTGAATTTCTTTAAGCTTAAAAATTTACAATAAAATATTCTTGATATTTTCAGGTCAGGTTTGACAGTGGCAACCCTGGTATTTAAGTGAAACTGTGGTATAAACTAATTTAACTTATATTTTTTGTGATCTTTTCTCAGGTATCCAACTTGCACGTTTCTGACTGGTCTCGCAGGACCACATGCATACTTGCGACTGCTTTACTTCTAGTCACTGTGTCTATCTTCCTAATAACTTGGAATGAATATGAAGGCTGAATGTGACATTGAGGGGGTCAAGAGTTGGTCTTTGGCTCAAATGTAACCAAGGCTGATTTTTTTTTTTTTGAAGAAAACTGCTTATTTTAAATTCTCTTTTATAACTGATTTGAATGAAGTGCTGGTTCACATATATAAGTTAATATATGTGCAGGATTTTGCAAGTTAAAGATTGTTTTTTAGTGTGTGTTTTGGGTCTGTTGCTGGATAATTGGGCCAATGAATTGTTACCTCTTCCTCTAAAAGCATTTCTGCACTACCAAAGGAAGCTGGACTTTCCAAACCAACAAGCGCAATACATTTTTTAAAAAGAAAACAAAGTGTTTGGCTTTTTTGTATTTATCTGAAAGAAGAAAACCAAATGTAACATGTTTTACTGCACATCAGTTCTATAGCAATACAACATCCACATTCGTATAGTTCTTAAAGGCTTTCATGTTGCACTTATGTAGCGTTGAGCCCAATTGTCTTCCAGGTCCCACCTCATAGGTGTGAGGAAACTCCTGTCCCTGGGCTCTTTCATAAATCTCATGCAGCGTCTGCTCCCATTTCACCGGAGACACCAGCTGTTTGGCCAGCTGATTGCATACGTGCTTGTCATGCATGTAACGCTTGCCGTCCACATTGGAGTGCACAGAGATCTCTGGCCGCCGTACCTCTATCTTTCGGAGGACGTCTCTCAGAGGCTCGACCGCTGGCTCCATCAGTGCGGTGTGAAAGGCTCCGCTAACCGGCAGTAGTCGCGTTCTCGTGAAGTTCAGCTCTCTGGAATGGTTTTGAAGGAAATCCAAAGCCTGTGTGAGAGAGTGATTGTTAAAAGCACAGCAGGGCTCAACAGTCAGGACTTCAAAACATAAAATCAAAACATACTTTTTTTAAAGCACATTTCTGGCCTTTTTGTAAATGAATCGGCAAAGTTCAATAGCTATAACAATACACCTAAAATATTTCTCATGAATAATGCTCTTTGCATCGATTCCAAACGATGGATCTTACCTCTTTGTGGCCAGCTATTACTCTGCCATCTGGAAAAAGGTAGTTGGCAATGGCACACACAGGCTCTTGGATACCGAGAGACAAACAGTGCTCCCTAGCTTGGACGCAGGCGTATTTGTAGTTGGCTTGAGGTCGGCCAATCACAGACAACATGCCACTAGATACGAGGTCAGAGGCCTTCTGCATTGCCTCTGCCCTCACCTTTACTGCAAACAAAGCTGTGAAAAAGCCCGAAAACAGGACCATTATAATAAATTAATGTGGGTGAATCTTCAATATGAAAAAATATGGAAAAACAATATTTTGCATACAAAAAAGACGACTACTTTTAGGTATGCTAAGATTTTGTGGAATGTGAAATTATTTTTATTACAACGCTTCTTACTGTATTGCAAAAAAAAACAAAAAAACAATCTTATTACTATGATGATAAAACAATATGTATAATGATGTACTCATACGTCATGATGGTATTTATGATACCGCCTTTAATTTATGCTGATTTATAAGCTATAATAATGAATAAAAATAATAGTTGTAATGTTGTAATGAAAATTGTTTGTGAATAATGGGAATAATAATTAAAATAATGAAAATAATATACGTATGTGTGTGTGTGTGTGTATATATATATATATATATATATATATATATATATATTTTTGTT